GTTTTGAGAAAATATTCCATGATTATATATTGTTTAAATAAAGTAAATAGGGGTTTGTAATTTAAATGCGTAAATATAGATGAGGCAATATTGTTGATTATCATCTAAATCAGTTTAAATACCAATAACGTTTCACCGCATTAGTAAAAACACTACTATTATAAACACACATAATTATAGTAACTGAAAATATTATCAGTGTTCCTGAAATGTTTAAAATATATCGTCTACAATATTATACACCTGATAGCGTGTACAACATATTACAACGATGTATCAAACATTACAATATTAGTATCGAACATTTCACGCAGATCTTGAAAACTTTCTTCATCTCTACAGTCATGTATGATGAAGTCTGTATTAGAAAAATGTAGCAATTGCACTTACAAGTGTACAAGAGGAAAAGCTGTTGGCTCTTAACCTTGTAATTAAAATATATCATTGTGTGTTTTAAACCTGAACAAAAACAAATAATTTATTGTAATGATTAACATACATTTAAACCAGAATAAATCTCAATTGCAGCAAAAGAAACTGTAAGGAATTGGTTAAATTTGTTTCATTATATCTATTTTGATATTTTCCATATGTTTCATTCAAATACGACTGTTAACGCATAAAAATAGATATCACACGTACCATTTCTAGGATCCCTCTTAAATTTTAACGGAGGTTTCAAAATGATTGTGACCTTGACCTGAAGAAGGTCTGACCTGACTTTGCACATCGTCTCATGATTTACATTCCTGCCAAAGTAGTTTGAATTTCTTTCCACCCGTTCAAAAGATATATAATAACATTCATATATCTCAATATAAGTAATACTTTTTGCCAGAAAGTTATAATTTCCTTCGATCGGTTCAAAAGATACAGAGCAGACAAAAAAATATTGATATTGAAAACAAAAAGACAAGTGTGAAAGGTCAAAACCTGCGCTCTGCACATCGTCTCATTATGGTTAACATTTTCTGCTAAGTAGTATGAATTTCCTTCCACCGGTTAAAAAAAAATACAGACCGGACGGACGAATGGACAACCAGGTGCATAATAATATACGCCGAAATTCTTTCCGAGCGTATTAAAAATAAAAAAGTGACCACTCTTCGGCGCGTCCCCCCAACCAAAAGATACATCAGGGGGTTGCCAGAAGGGGGATGTGCCCCCTTCTGTTTGGGGGGTTTAAGGGGGGCGGAGCCCCACTCATCGCCAAGAAAATTTTGGACTTGTGAGAGGCTATAAATGACCCGAGATTGATCATAAGGTAACGTGTAACCAACGCTGAAAAGCATTTGACTATCAATTTTGATGGAAAAAATCAACGCAAAATAGTGATTTTTGGCAATTTTGAGATGTCCCCTCGTTGCCATGGTAACAGAAAATTTAAGCCTGAGCATGTTGTTGCAAGGACAATGGTCCAGAATACATTTGTGCCAAGTTTGATTAGTGTTTAAGCAGTTTTTATAGTTTTATAGCAATTTGAACTTGTAACGGAAGACTTTTCAATGAAAACAGTCATTTTTCACAAAATGCTCATGAAGTAATGGGTTAATGAAAAAATCAAAAAATTTACATAACAACAACTTTTCTTCAAATTTATATGACAGGCCATGTTTAAACATGGAAAAACGCGATTTTGGGTAATTTCAAGTACTTTCATCGTTTTCTGTTAACCCATTACGCGATATACACGCCTTTAACGCCTTTTTCACCCCCCCCCCCTTTTTTTGTCTCAAATGGTGAAAAAATGCCTTATTTAGGCCCCCAACACTTGTTTTTGTTTGAGAAATGTTGTAAAAAATCAAAGTGCTGCAGCACTGAATGCGACGGACATGCAACCAGAGAGACATTAAGGCTTTTTTTAGAAAAAAAAAACAACACAAAAGATATAACAGAGAAATTTTGTTCCATACAAGTTCGAGATTTGTAGAGCAATATATTTTATGTGTCCCATTCTGATATAATTCAGATTTTCTACTTTCAAGCAGAACAAGTCCAAATTTTTAAATACAGAATGAAATTTATGCCTAAAAACTCTGGTCTTACTTGTAAATCAGTGTCCTTATCGATTTATTCCAAGAAATGATATGTATAAATAGAAAAAAAAACTGTAAACAAAATATTTCTAAAATAAAACCATGCAAATAAACTTCAATCATAATACATGTGAGAATGTTAATTAGAATTGCTTCGTGTTATATCATAGTGGGCATATAGACAATAAAATATAAGTCATTTGTATTTTTATTTCTCTTGGATCTCATTAAAAATATTTTTGGTAAAAATCATCAGCAATTAATGGTGTATTTATTTTAGATTTTTTTTCATTTACGTTACTTAAGCACTACAGTGTTTAGTTGTCCCTTTCAATTTCACACTAAATTCCATTTTCAACTTGTTTGCTTCTTACAATTGTATAGAATTTCTTAAAGTATTGCATGTAAACAAAGTAAGTATCCGCTGGTTTTACTCGTCCGAAAGTCAGCACAGATGATGCAGAATCTACTTTTAGAATAAGTGTTATCTTCTGGTCGAAGGCTATTATAATCTCATAGCAGGTTAACTTCATATCGTGACCTAGAAAACTATGTAAACAAAACACAAGAATCGGAAGTAGAACTGATATTATAACTTCCTTCAATAAAGATTACCATGAAAGACTACATGGTGGTAAAGTGTTGAAAAACTCCCTTGTTACATGCATTTTCAAAAATAGATATTTACAATACTAATCATTGTACTGTAGTCTAATTTATTAATAACTGCTGGATATTCAGCTAAACCCGCGGTATGAGTCAAGAAAAGAGTTCTTCTTTTATTAATGCGCGAGTTATTCTAAAGTCACGAAAAACTTTTATCTGTTAATAAAAATGTTTTGTTTAATGGGAAAATATTTATTTCCTGCTTATAATTTCTATGAATTATTGAGCTTACTCCTTAATAATTTGCTGTCCTACTTTTTCGACAGCGGTAAATCGTTTCAGCAGTTATTTGCATAATTGCGCAATAATACTACGGGACTACAGCGTTTTTATCAATCTAATACGTTTATATTTTAACTTGGATAACTTAATTTGAAATTGAAAAGGCTAAATATGGAAGTTTTTAAGATATCCCGACGAAGTATGGGAGTTTCATAGGATCAAATTCATGTACTATTTCGTGGGCAGTTATTCGGTTGAGGACACATTGCGCGATTGTAGCCAACGAAATCCCATGTGTAGATGACATAGCTCTGAACGCGCCTGAGGGTGCGTCCGTCGCAAAAAGTGACCACTTTTTCGGCGCCCCCCCCCCAACCAAAAGATACATCAGGGGGTTGCCAGAAGGGAGATGTGCCCCCTTCTGTTTGGGGGGTTTGAAGGGGGGGGGGGCGGAGCTCCACTCATCGCCAAGAAAATTTTGGACTTGTGAGAGGCTATAAATGACCCCAGATTGATCATAAGGTAACGTGTAACCAACGCTGAAAAGCATTTGACTCTATCTCAATCCATTGAGATGTTGCAGCACTTTGAAATAAATTTTGATGGAAAAAAATCAACGCAAAATAGTGATTTTTGGCAGTTTTGAGATGTCCCTTCGTTGCCATGATAACAGAAAAATTAAGCCTGAGTATGTTGTTGCAAGGGCAATGGTCCAGTGAACATTTGTGCCAAGTTTGATTAGTGTTGAAGCAGTTTTTATAGTTTTATAGCAATTTGAATTTGTAACGGGAGACTTTTCAATGAAAACAGCCATTTTTCACAAAATGGTTTTTCACAAAACCCCATGGGGCGGGGCCAATTTTGACCCCAGGGCTTTTATTTGAACAAACTTTGTAGACACTCACTAGAACATGTTTCATGCTTAATATCTAAACTCTAGCTATTTGGTTTTTTTCAAAGAAGATTTTTTAAGTTTTTGCTATACATATATAAGGAAAATCAATGACCCCCGGGGCGGAGCCAATTTTGACCCCAGGGCTTTTATTTGAACAAACTTGGTAGACACCCACTAGAACATGTTTCATGCTAAATATCTTAGCTCTAGCTCTTTGAGTTCTTTAAAAGAAGATTTTTTAAGTTTTTACTATATGCATATAGGGAAAATCAATGACCCCATGGGGCGGGGCCAATTTTGACCCCAGGGCTTTTATTTGAACAAACTTTGTAGACACTCACTAGAACATGTTTCATGCTTTATATCTAAACTCTAGCTATTTGGTTTTTTTCAAAGAAGATTTTTTAAGTTTTTGCTATACATATATAAGGAAAATCAATGATCCCCGGGGCGGAGCCAATTTTGACCCCAGGGCTTTTATTTGAACAAACTTGGTAGACACCCACTAGAACATGTTTCATGCTAAATATCTTAGCTCTAGCTCTTTGAGTTCTTTAAAAGAAGATTTTTTAAGTTTTTACTATATGCATATAGGGAAAATCAATGACCCCATGGGGCGGGGCCAATTTTAACCCCAGGGCTTTTATTTGAACAAACTTGGTAGACACTCACTAGAACATGTTTCATGCTGAATATCTAGGCTCTAGCTATTTGGGTTCTTTAAAAGAAGATTTTTTAAGTTTTTACTATATGCATATAGGGAAAATCAATGACCCCCTGGGGCGGGGCCAATTTTGACCCCAGGGATTTTATTTGAACAAACTTGGTAGATACTCACTAGAAGATGTTTCATGCCAAATATCTAAGCTCTAGCTCTTAGGGTTTTTTAAAAGAAGATATTTAAAGTTTTTTCTTTCGGTTGCCATGGCAACCAGAGTTCTGCATGGAATTAAATTCTTTGAACAATTTTTAAAGGTGATCACAAAAGGAACATTCCTGTGAAGTTTGGATGAAATTGGCTTAGTGGTTTATGAGGAGATGTCATTTAAAGTAAAAGTTTATGGACGGATGACAAACGGACGACGGACGCCAGACGAAAAGCGATCACAAAAGCTCACCCTGTCACTTTGTGACAGGTGGGCTAATAAAAACACTAAATGGAGTAAACTATAAAATATCAGTAATTTTTTTAAATTCTTTATGTAAATCAAGTGTATTGCATAGAAAGGTGAAACTTTGTTAGATTTAATCTTCTTTCATGGAGTCCCACAGTGAATTGGTGATGAAGAATTGCGAACACTTCCTCTTGTCAAAGCTGAAAGGTTTCACATCAGTCTTATTACTGATATCTGTTTTTTATGTTAAGGTAAAATAATATATCAACAACATAATATTTACAGTGTTTCTTTAATATTGGCATAAATGCATTTAACTAGGAATAAGTTGTCATATCTTGACAGGAAGACTTCTAACTAGCTTTTCTTACCTTTTTCTCAGAATTAATGAAGTAGAGAGTACAATCTGCAATAACAAGAGCCACCCCTAGGCAATGATTTACTCTTTTCACTTTTTCTAAAAGCAAACAAATGAACGATTTAAACAAATTTTTAAAAAGAAAATTAAAGAAAAAGAGGATTGCATTTGTGAAACAAGAGCACCGCTAGGCATTATATGCCCGAAAGTGTTTTTTCTTAGTAAGGATGAAGCATTTGTAAGACATGGAAATTAAATAAAGTATTACCTCCTTCAAAAAGCTATCCTCTTTTATAGCTGAAGAACCTTCATATACATACAGTTGCTGTTTACAAAGCACCACCATCAAGTTGTTATCTTGTAAGTAAAAATACTACGATGGATGGACAGAAAGATGCCAGGGCTATAACATAATATATGCAAATGTTTTAGGGCATATAATTAATGTACTCAATATAAGTGATCATCCTATGAAGTTTGACATTGGTAAAACTGTTTACAATAATAAGGTCATTTGATATTGACCTTTGACCTTATGACCCCAATATAGATATGGATCTTTTATTCAATATAGGCAATCATCCTATGAAGTTTGAACACTGTAAGTCAAATGGAACTTGTGTTATGCTCCAGAAACCACAATTTTCAGTGTTACGGTCATTTTGACCCTGACCTTTGATCTTATGACCCTAAAATCAATAGGGGTCATGTATTGGACATGGCTGTTCATCCTTATAAAATTTTACAGCTGTAGGTTGATTAAAAAGTTATTGAGCGGGAACTGTTTTCAGTTTTTAAGGTAATAGTGACCTTGATCTTTGACCTTGTGACCCCAAAATCAATAGGGGTCTTCTACCGAATATGGACAAACATCCTATGAAGTTTGAATATTGTGGGCCAAATGAAACTTAAAGTTATGCTCCGGAAACTGTTTTTCAGTTTTAAGGTAATAGTGACCTTGACCTTTGACCTTGTGACCCCAAAATCATTAGGGGTCTTCTACCCTATATGGACAATCATCCTATGAAGTTTGAATATTGTGGGCCAAATGGAACTTAAGTAATGCTCCTGAAACTGTTTTCAGTTTTAAGGTAATAGTGACCTTGACCTTTGACCTTGTGACCCCAAAATCATTAGGGGTCTTCTACCCTATATGGACAATCATCCTATGAAGTTTGAATATTGTGGGCCAAATGGAACTTAAGTAATGCTCCGGAAACTGTTTTCAGTTTTAAGGTAATAGTGACTTTGACCCGTTGACCTTGTGACCCCAAAATCAATAGGGGTAAGGGGTCTTCTACCCTATATGGACAATCATACTATGAAGTGTGAATATTGTGGGCCAAATGGAACTTAATTTATGCTCCGGAAACCAAATTGCTAACGGACAAACGCCAGGGGGTAGGGCATATAACAAGAGGGCCATGATGGCCCTGAAGTCGCTCACCTGTATATAGGCCCCAGAGCGGGGCCAGTTTAAAACTCCAGGGCTTTTATTTGAACAAACATGGTAGACACCCATTAGAAGATGTTTCATGCTAAACATCTAAGGTCTAGCTCATTGAGTTTTTCTTTACACATATAGTAAAAAAACAATGAGACCCCTTGGCAGGGCCAGTTTTGACCCCAGGGCTTTTATTTGAACAATCTTTGTAGACACTTACTAGAAAATGTTTCATGCTTAATATCTAAACTCTAGCTATTCGAGTTTTTTCAAATAAGATTTTTAAGTTTTTGCTATACACATATAAGGAAAATAAATGACCCCCTGGGGCGGGGCCAATTTTGACCCCAGGGCTTTTATTTGAACAAACTTGGTAGACACCCATTAGAACATGTTTCATGCTAAATATCTTAGCTCTAGCTCTTTGGGTTCTTTAAAAGAAGATTTTTTAAGTTTTTACTATATGCATATAGGGAAAATCAATGACCCCCTGGGGTGGGGCCAATTTTGACCCCAGGGCTTTTATTTGAACAAACTTGGTAGACACCCATTAGAAGATGTTTCATGCTAAATATCTTAGCTCTAGCTCTTTGGGTTCTTTAAAAGAAGATTTTTTAAGTTTTTACTATATGCATATAGGGAAAATCAATGACCCCCTGGGGTGGGGCCAATTTTGACCCCAGGGCTTTTATTTGAACAAACTTGGTAGACACCCATTAGAAGATGTTTCATGCTAAATATCTTAGCTCTAGCTCTTTGGGTTCTTTAAAAGAAGATTTTTTAAGTTTTTACTATATGCATATAGGGAAAATCAATGACCCCCTGGGGCGGGGCCAATTTTGACCCCAGGGCTTTTATTTGAACAAACTTGGTAGACACTCACTAGAAGATGTTTCTTGCCAAATATCTAAGCTCTAGCTCTTTGGGTTTTTTAGAAGAAGATATTTAAAGTTTTTTCTTTCGGTTGCCATGGCAACCAGAGTTCTGCATGAAATTAAATTCTTTGAACAATTTTTAAAGGTGACCACCAAAGGAACATTCCTGTGAAGTTTGGATAAAATTGCTATGCCACAGGATTAATATAACAGAAGTAATTTTTGTTGTTGTTTCTGTTCGATTGAACTTCGCCATAATGCAATAGTGTTTAGTGAATATGGGATCAAGGTAATATTTCAGCATGTCAAATGAATGACAAAATTAATGCAGATGTGTCTAATGTTAAGATACAAAGGCCATAGTTGATTATCGTAAGTCAAAAACTTAAGACAAATCGTAAGATTTTTTGTGAAAATGTCTACTGCAGCTGTGTCCCCTTATTAATCAAATGCCATTACAGTAATGGCTAACTGTTTACACTACATTCATGATTTATGTTCTTCTTTCGAAAGTTTTTTGTTTCTTTTAAATGTAATTAGTATTATTTGTGAATATATTATATGTTTACATCATTGAATTGTTTAAGAAAAAGATAATGCCGATATTCATTGAACAGTAAGTAAAAATCGCTAGCATTATATATATATGCGGTGGGTGGGGTAATGCAGTAATTTCGCAATGAGCGTTCTAATGAGAGCCTCGGTAGAACGCGGTTGAGACATTGGACCCCACCATGAGCGTTTTAATGAGACTATAGCCTCATTATAACGCTCATGGTGGGGTCCAATGTCTGAACACTGCGAGTGTACACGTAGTGAAACTGAAACTGCTTTAATGCCGATAATTCATCATGCCTATTGACCTGTAGGCGCGCTTAGGTATTTGCTTTGTTGATGCGAAATTTTTGTGTCAGCACTTACTGATTGACAAGCAGTAAAGTTTCCATGCATCCATGGGAAATTATCACAGGTCAAAAATGACAAGCAAGCTGATTTTATGACAGGTCAAATGATTGCATTTCAGAATTTTCACGGGTCAAGACCCGAGGTCTCGGGTCAAACAAACATCCTGTGCACAACTAACATGCTGATCAACATATCTGTAAACTTTGATAACTTTAATTATAACCTTTGATAGGTCAAATTCTTTTTGGGCTACGCACAATACAATTTGAAAATTGCCAAATTTGACTCAGACAAGGGCAATAACTCTACAATTACTGAATAAATCCAGAAGTAAACTCCACACACTCACCAGCAATATTGACTTTTTGAAAAATAAGTGGTCAGAAGAAAAATTTGAACTCCACCCATAATTTATAAACTTACAACTCTGTACAAAGAATTTTATTTCAATTAATTGCAACCCAAACCAGGGTCTTCATATAAGCTTGCTTTACACTAAATTTGAATATACTTCCTAACTCTAGTTATTGTCCGAAAACCATTTTTCTATTTTTAGTAGCAGTGACCTTGACCCCAGAGGGTCCAAAAGCAATATCTGCAGGGGTCTTCACATGAACTTGCTTAATACCAAGATTGATTACAATATATCGCTCCAAATCCGGAAACAATTTTTCTATTTTTAGTAACAGTGACCATGACCCTAGGGGGTTCAAAAGCAATACCAACCAGGGTTGTCACATAAGGCTGCTATATTCCAAGTTCTATAAAAGTACCTTATTCCAAACTAAAATAAACTTTCTAAATACCAAGATTGTTTACAATATCTCGTTCCAAACTCTACTTATTGCCCAAAAAACATTTTTTTGGTTTTTTTGTGACCTTGACCCAAGGGGGGTCCAAAAGCAATCCCAATCAGTCTTCATATAAGCTTAATAAATACCAAGATTGATTACAGTATCTCATTCCTAACTCTAGTTATTGTCTGGAAACCATTCTTCTATTTTTTGTAACAGTGACCTTAACCCTAGGGGGTTCAAAAGCAATACAAACCGGGATTTCCACATAAGGTTGCTATATACCAATTTCTATTACAGAATCTTATTTCAAACTATAGTTATCGTCTGGAAACCAAGGAGACCGACTGACAGACAATCCAACCCCTATATAATAACTCTGACAAAACTAGTTTAATTCACATGTAAAACCCAAGGTGCAAAAATTCATATACTGATCAACACTCTTGTAACATTGTTGAATCTTGCTAAAACATTTTTACAGGTACATGTGACACAATATGATAATGAACTGATGTACAAGGGCAAATCTAAATGAAGCCCCCCCCCCCCCCAAAAGGGAGGGTGCAGAAACCTGTGGTTAGTTTGAACAGAAATGTAATTAAATATTAGCAGTAAAAGGATACACCCTTTCACATCATTTTTTGATCCTTCAAAATCCAGCGAATTCTCGATATATTGTTGAACAGACTCAGTTCCTCCCTGGAATAAAAAATCAAAATCAAAAACAAATAACATTTTTACAGTAACTTATAAAAATTTCTTAGTTTTTCTTTTTATATTGCATATAAGAAATACAAACATGTACATGTAGAGGCATATATATTTAATTCTCTCACTCCAACTTCAGTGTAGCAATACCACGTGACTATGACGTCATTTTCTGCATCATAAATGACATTTCCATGACAATTTTTATATTGCTAGATTCAGAAAAGAAAATAGCCCCCCACTGCGCCCATTGTTCTGACAATCTTATGACTCAAAGTCAAATATTTTTTTGAAAAAACTAAGAACTTTACAAATACTGAATAAATCCACAAGGGATGGATAAGTAAACATGCTAACCAACATTCTTGTAAACCTTCAGGGGCCTACAAGTCAAATACCTTTTGAAGCTATGCATAAATTTTGCAAATTTATACTACTGTAAATCAAGGGAAATATAACTCTTAAAAAACTAAAAAAAATCCACATGTAAGTCCCAGGTTCATAGCTTCACAGTGATGTAAATCATTATTCCTGGTAAATTAGTTTGATGTTGATCATTTATTCCTGTAAAGTGGTTGATTCTAAGCAAGCACTCAAGGAACAAATAACAAACATAATTGGAAACGTTTTTTTTACTAAGTCAAGGGAAATAACTCTACAAATACTGGATAAATCCACAAGCGAAACCCCCCAGGTGTGCAAAAACTAAATCATTTGCTGAGCAACCTTCCCATAAGGTTAATGACTCTATGTGTCAAATCCTTTTTTTGAGTTTACATGCGACACAAGTTGAAAATTGCAAAAAAAATTACTAAGTCAAGGGCAATAACTCTAAAAATACTAAAAATAAGTCCAGATGAAAATACCCAGGTGCACAACTACACATGCTGATCAACATTCCTGACCAAAGTTTCATGGACTCTAAGCGTCAAACACTTTTTGGTTACATGCGACACAAAGTTTTGAAAATTGCAAAATTTTACTAAGTCAAGGGCAAAAACCTCTAAAAAAACTAATAATATCCAAAAGAAAATAAAAACCCAGTTGCACAAACAAACTTTTACACATGCTGATCAAACATTCCTGTACAGTTTCGTGACTCTATGTCAAATACTTTTTGAGTTACATGCGACACAAGTTGAAAATTGCAAAATTTTTACTAAGTCAAGGGCAAATAACTCTAAAAATACTTAAAAATATCCAGACCCAAATACCCAGGTGCACAACTACTACACTGCTGATCAACATTCCTGTAAAGTTTCATGACTCTCGTCAAATACTTTTTGAGTTACGTGCGACACAAAAGAGAACGGATGGAAGGACGGAAAAGGAAGGAAGGACAAGGGTAAATCTAAATGCCCTCCACTAAAGTTGGGGCGCAAAAACCTGAGCTTCAGGCATATGCCTGAAAACTTGCACCCATGATAAGCTTGGAAGTTGATTGTATAAGAGCGGGCTTCAGTTGCCAGCTATTTCGTTTTCTTGCATTATCTGATCTACACCATGATTAAAAACTTAGGTTTACATTAACCGGGAGTACGGAAGGCAAAATTCTACCTAAATATGTATATATTTTTATTATGAATGGCATATTTTTCATCAATTGTCAATTTTGGCACCAGTTCCAAGTAAAAACTAGAAATGTGTCCATAGGACACGGGTGCCCCCACCGCGCCACTGTTCTGTCAATCTTTTTACTAAGTCAAGGGAAATAACTCTACAAATACTGGATAAATCCACAAGCGAAACCCAAGGTGCAAATCTAAATATGCTGAGCAACCTGCCCATAAGGTTTAATTAATGACTATGTCAAATCCTTTTTGAGTAACTTGCGACACAAGTTGAAAATTGCAAAAAATTTCTAAGTGAAGGGCAATAACTCTAAAAATACTAAATAAATCCAGACGAAAATATCTGATGCACAACTGCACATGATGATCAACATTCCTGTAAAGTTTCATGACTCCAGGTCAAATATGTTTTGAGTTACATGCAACACAAGTTGAAAATTGCAAAATTTTACTAAGTCAAGGGCAATAACTCTGAAAATACTAAAAATATCCAGACCAAAATAACCAGGTGCACAACAACACATGCTGATCAACATTCCTGTAAAGTTTCATCACTCTCTAGGTCAAATACTTTTTGAGTTACATGCCACACAAGTTGAAAATTGCAAAATTTTACTAAGTCAAGGGCAATAACTCTACAAATACTGAAAATATCCAGACGAAAATACCCAGGGTGCACAACTACACATGCTGATCAACATTTCCTTAAAGTTTCATGACTCCAGGTCAAATACTTTTTGAGTTACATGCGACACAAGTTGAAAATTGCAAATTTTTACTAAGTCAAGGGCAATAACTCTGAAAAATACTAAAAATATCCAGATGAAAATACCCAGGTGCACAACAACACATGCTGATCAAGATTCCTGTAAAGTTTCATGACTCTAGGTCAAATACTTTTTGAGTTACATGCGACACAAGTTGAAAATTGCAAAATTTTACTAAGTCAAGGGCAATAACTCTGAAAATACTAAAAATATCCAGACGAAAATACCAGGTGCACAACTACACATGCTGATCAACATTCCTGTAAAGTTTCATGACTCTAGGTCAAATACTTTTTGAGTTACATTGCAACACAAGTTGAAAATTGCAAAATTTTACTAAGTCAAGGGCAATAACTCTGAAAATACTAAAAAATATCCAGACAAAAATACCCAGGTGCACAACTACACATGCTGATCAACATTCCTGTAAAGTTTCATGACTCTATGTCAATTACTTTTTGAGTTACGTGTGACACAAAAGTGAACGGACGGACGGACGGACGGAAGGACGGACGGACGGACAGACGGACGGACAAGGGTAAATCTAAATGCCCGCCACTAACGTGGGGGCACAAAAAAAAAGGACTACAGTAGCAGATTTCAAAATTGGTTGCAAATGTGAAGCAACATGCCTTCCATTCTCTTTCTATAATTATATTTTTCAATGTTGATCTTTCACAGACAGATTGTGAAAAAACTGTTAGTTCCTTGAAGTAATAACACTAAGGGCCTACTTGTATTGCAATAATGGATTTAGTCCTGTGTTTTTTT